TGGAGCACACAGACCCTACTACTATCACACTGTATTTGTACCCAGCTCCTCAGTCTAGAAACCTGCAGAGCCTGACGTTAAAGTGCCTAAGCCTTTGCCCAGTGTCTGTTAGGTCATTCAGGTCCAGGCTCAGATCTAGCTCCTCTGATCCTTTCTACATCCCTGTCCCCACAGTCACCCACAGTCACCTCAAGCACCTGCTTTGGGCAGTCAGAGTCAGTTCCAGTTGAACTTCCAAAGTATAAGACCGCAGCAGCAAGAGAAAGCAGCCTCCAGCCTTAGGCATCTCATCCAGTCCAAGGGGAAAGTCACAAGCCACAGCCTCTTCCTCACTGGAAAGGAGAGCAGCCTGAGGGTGGCTTTTCAAACAAAAGGCCCAGAGACCAGGTGAGTATACTTAGGGAGGCCAAAGGATGGGAGGGCAGAAACCAACTCCTGGGAAGTCTAGACTTGGCCATCATTCAGAAGGTCCCCTCAACACGTAGGACATACTGAGCAAACAGCACAGATCACATGAGACTCTACTTTTTCAGAAGTTGCCAAGTTGATTGGTTTCAGGCACTTCCCATTTCTGGAGAGAAACCAAATCACAAAGGTGACTGTGTGCAGGTTTGGTGCATGGCCCCTAGAAGAAACAGGAAGGAGACAGCTGAGAGGTTCTTCCAAAGCCCAGATATCAGCACAGCCTGACTGGGCCTTCAAGTCTTTGCCTCCTCTTCCAGCTAACATCTTGAATACCCTGCTCAAAACAGAGCAAAACACCTTTCTCCTATTGCTAGGCTCAAGCCCCTCTTCCCTGGCCAGGTCCTTGATGGCTTCTGCCAACTGGGCCCCACATTTATTATCTCACAGGTGTTGAGATGTTGCCTGGCCTTGCACTAAGGCCTATGAAAACAAAGAGGCAAATGATTTGCTCTCATTCTCAAAGTACTTATAGTTTGGGAGACAGAGATGAACACAAGAATGTTCTCTCTCCTAAAAACTCCCTTGTGCTACAGCCAGACTGCCCTGAGTCCCATGGACACCCACTCACTTCACACCTCTGTTATCTGTGCTCACATCGCTCCATCTGCTCCCTTCCACTGCAGGAACCCTCCCACAGGCAGCCCACACCGCAGGGCCCACCCTCAGCCTTCTCTGCCTGTTGGACTCCACAGGAGCCTCTCTCCTTCTTTAACCTCCAATGGCAACAGCCCCCATTGGTCCCTTGGCCACTTACTGGCTGCCTCATGGCACATCTCACATGGATAAGACTGTGAGGCCTTCCTTAGGAGCAGTGGTCCAGTCGTAATCAATCCCTTCTATCTGAAGAGTGCTTCAGAAGTACTTTCTGATATGTTATTTCATTTTGGCAATAGCTCTCCATTGTCTGTGTCTTACTTCCTAATGTATATTATAGGCTTCTGCGGGCAGGGTGAGGTAGACTGCAATGTCACTAAAATGCCTAACAGGGTACTTCATAGGAATACTTGATTACATTAATAGATGAGGTAGTCTCGTCAGGAAACTGCAGGGAGAAAACGTAAAGCTCTGAACTGATCCCTTCTGTACCAACCCCCATCTGGGAGCACAGCTGCATGGGAAGGGAATCTAGCTACAGAGTCACCTGCAGGCCCGAGACAAGAAGGATGAAGATGAAGCCGTTGGTGCCTCAGTTTCCCTGTCTGACTCTATGATGGAATGTTACAGGTTCTTCTATAGACTACACAGTAAATTACAAAAGAACCAGCCTCGGTGATATATATCAACATGAGCCAAGAACCTGAACTCTTGTCTTGGCAGCATAATTGAATCACCTTGTTTCTCCATTCACAAAGCAAACAAACAAAACAAACGAGGAAGGATGCCTAGGTCAATGGCTAGTATGGAATCTCCTAAGCCTAGCACACAGGGCACACACATTTTCTTAATGGATAAATTATGAATCTGACCCGGCAGCCCCCATTTCCTTGGCTCTTTGATTTGTCTCCTGGCTACCCCTTCCCTGGGAAAGTTTCCAAATTACCTAAGGAAAAAGCTTCTCTGGACCATCCAACTCTTTCCCTTCAGTTTTAGTTAATGCTGAGAAGCACAGTCAAAGATGGGGGAGAATCACAAGCTCTTAGTAAGCTTTAAATAAGAAAGCACTTAAGAAACCCAGTGGGGCTAGGGGTGGAGGGATGGCTCAGCAGTTAAGAGTACTGGCTACTCTTGCGGAGGACCTGGGTGTGGTTCCCAGCACCCACATGATGGCTAGCAACCATCTGTAACTCCAGTTCCAGGGGACCCAACACCCTCTTCTGGCCTCTGTGGGCACTCATACACATAAAAGAAAAATAAAAACATAACAAAATATTTTGTACAAATTCCTCCAGAAACAAAGAAGGAAAGAAAGAAACCCAGTGGGGCCAATTTGAAGAGGCTAGAGTGAAGAAAGGCAGGCAGGGTTCTTTCTCTTCCATGGACTTCAGACTCCTAAAGGAGTCTGTGCACTGTGTGGAAGGGGGACCCAGCCATCTGCCAATGACAGAGAAGGAACTTCAGGAACAGACTTTAGGACAATATGCCAAACCTAGGGCAAGGTATAGCTACACACCAGCCAACTCATTGATTTACCATTGTTCCTATAGGGGTACACCCCAGACAGTTTCTGAGAAAGTCCCTGTGAGCATTCACCTACAAGCAGGAAGAAGGTGTCTGAAGGAGGCCACAAGGCAGAAAGACATGGGTTAGTGATTAGAGGTGTGGGGCAAAGGATGTTTCTTTCTTTTTTTTTTTTTTTCTTTTTAAAAATATTTTATTATTTTCATTTTATGTGTATGCAATGCGTGTATTGCCTGCATGTAGGTAAGTGTACCCATGTTGTGCAATGCCCATGGAGGACAGAAGAAACTGTCAGATCCCCTAGACTGGAGTTACGGACACTTACCAGCTGCCATGTGGGTGCTGGAATTCGAAACCGAGTCTTCTGCAAGAACAGTGTTCTTAACCACTGAGCCATCTCTCCAGCCCCAGGATGTTTTTCTTTTAAGGAAAGCATGGCCTCTGCAGGGCCATTCTGGTATTTCAGAAGCAGGGGTTCCCTGATTTATCAGAAGAGGGCAAGATACAGCTCCTAGAGGAGGCTAACTCCCCCCACACTAAACAGGAATCCTGAGATCTTCTGAAGTGATGGGAACCAGTGAAGCCTCAACAGGAAGAACCCAGGTCACCCCTAGGACTTGGAATATGGTCATACCTCCAGGGTGCAAACCACTGCTTTTCAGGTAAAATCCAAGCACCCCTCCCCCCTCAATACCCTCTGCTCTCTGCAGATAGCTCAGCAGCTCCGGGCACCAGGCCCATGTCAAAAATAGTCACAGTGAGTTTCTGTAGTGGTAACCTGCTGCCCTTTGTCCCCACATCTGCAAGCTGCCTCATATCCCATCTGCTTCCTTGCCACTCCCAGCCTCACTCCCCTGCCTTTCCCCAACACCTGCTTCTCCAAGCTCCAGAGAGGCTGGCAGCCTCTCTCAGTCTCAGTCTCAGTCTGTCTCTCCTTCCTATCTCTTTGGAATGCTTTTCATTCAAACAGTGGCCCAAACCAAGTGCCTGGATCTCTTAGGAGCCAACCTTAGAGCTCCACTGAGAAATATGAACAAGTTTTGTTCCCTGACTCTAAGTGCCTTAAAGAGTAAAGCAAAGAAAGAGACACTAAGAGCTCAGTGAGGACTACCACAGTAACAGTGATCAGCATTCAGCCAGCATTACCACTCATGCTAAGTGCTTTACAAACATTATTTTGTGTAATCTAACAGACCAGGAGGTAGGTCTCATTATTAGACCCATTCAACAGACCACACACTAAAGCTCAGAGGCTCAAGTCATAGTTAAGGCCATGCTGTCCCAAAGAAAGGCCTCCAGGTATGTCTGACAATGCCTACTTCTTAACCACAAGGCTCTGTTCCTTTAGGCTGCATCTACCCCCACCCTCTTCTGTCTTGGCAAGGACTGTGCTGGAGGAGGAGTGTGAAGGAGGGAGGAGGAATCCTCTAGAGGAAGCTGAGAGCTGTCCTCTGCCCTAAAGGCAGATAGGGCCTCAAGGCTTGGGGGAGCATTCCAACGGGATGACCTGGTGGTCAGCAGGTGGTTTCTCCCAGGAGTCATGAGGCTACTCCAGAGCTGACAAGTGTGGCACCCTGGAACCTGTGCACGGATAGGTAGGATCCTCTCAAGTCAGACCTCCTGGAGGAGAGGGTCTTTCACTGCCTATGAAGAAAAGACTCAGAGGCCACTGACCCACACTCAGAACAGTGACCCTCATGGCCTTGCCAGGGAGCCACCCAGCCCTTTGTCCCTTTAATCACAGGCTCCAACTCTACCAGATCAGAGATAGGTCTAAGATGGGTCCTGCCTATCTGCTGACCCCATGGTCTGCAAAAGCATTTCTGACCCTCCATCCTCCTTCAAAACAGGCGCTTCCTCTGCTGTCTCCTTTATTTGTGCACTGTGACTCCCCTCTATCCCGGTCCTCCTCCAGGTGTCCCACATGGTGGATTTACCTTCACAACTGCCCTGGAAACTCAGTTCCTTTGATCCATGCTTAGCTGCACATTATTAGCTAATCCCTGAATTAAGGGTACCTCAGTGACTTGGTGACTGGTCTCTCCGCTGGTCATTTTCCCTCCCCTCTTCGTTTGGGTTGTGGGCATATCACTTCTCTATTGGCTATGATTCTGGCCACCTCAGCTTCAGGAACCCTGGCCTCCATCTGCGCGGTTTGGATGGTAACGCTCCCCAGACAGAGGCCAGAAATCCCACCCCTACTCCCCGACGGCAAGCAGAGGGACCCCCCCCGCAGAAATTAAGGCTCAGCGCCCCAGTCGGGGGCGCTCTTCCCTGCGTTTATTCTCTCGCCCTGGCGTCCGGAGCCACTGCCTCTACCTAGTTGGGCGTACTATATCCCTCCCGGGCTGGGGATGGGAAGCAGGGGAAGGGGCCACTAAGTGGGAGGATGGGGCCCCCCGGCCACCGCCCCTTACCGATGGTGGAGATGTGCGAGGAGTGGAACTCGTTGTCGGTGAAGCGGCACAGCAGGCAGGTCTTGCCCACCCCAGAGTCCCCGATCAGCAGCAGCCGGAACAGCACATCGTACTGCTTCGCCATGGCAGGGACTCAAGGGGGCCGGGGGCTCCGGGCGGTGGCTCAGCCCTGCTCAGCCTCGGCCATCGTGGCAGGACGCCCCAGGACGCCGCGGGAGGAGGAAAGCCGGACGGCCCCGCGCTGGCCTTGTCCGCCCGCCCGCTCGCTCGGCCCGGGAAGCGCGGCTGCGGCGGGAGCGCGGCGCGGGGAAGCTCGCGCGGGCGGGCGGTGGGAGGGGAAAGCCGCGGCCGCCTGGCCCGTCCTTCCTTCTTCCCCGCGCCGCCGCCGCCGCAGCCCGGAGAGGGGGCGGGGAGCACCTGGGACCCCGCGGCCTGCAGAGGAGGGGCGGCGGCTCTGAGCCAGCCCTGGGGTGCCGAGACCTGCCAGGGTACCCGAGGGAAACGTTCTAAGTGGCGGAGTTGGGATGCGCGCCCACCCAGCCCACCTCTACCAAGCTCCACATCCTTGCCTCATCGCCTCTCCTCGAATCCCTCCCCAAGCCTGATCTTAGTAACTCCGCCCCACTGGGCACCGGTCCTGCTGTGGCCTGGCCGGCTCATCCGAGGCAGGTCCTCACCTGCACTCACCCCAAGTTGGAAGGCCTTCATCAGGGTCTGGATTGGAACGCCCAGCTAGCTGCCCTTGAAGTCACCGCCTTCACGAACACTCGAGAGCAGAGCGTTGCGGGAATTCTCTCTCTCACTGCCATCTGGCCTCCCCACTATATGACTTGTGTTTTTGTCTTTAAGAGGGGAAAGTGATGACCTTCAGTCCATCAGGGTGAACAGATAAATGATCATTAAACACTTCCAAATGCAAAAATCTCTGGAGGAGGTTCAGGCAAGAGTCTGCTTTCGGTCTGTTTCTGGGTGGATTCTCAGACTACTAAATACTGCTAATGAAGAGTACCCAAATGGTATCCAAGAATGAATGGGCCTCTCGAGAGACAGTTTACTACTGTCGAATGTGTCAGCGGAAATCAGTTCTCTCTGGGGTTTAGAAAATTGTGTGTAGGATCCTAGTATTAGGGGCAGCGCAAGTCCAGTCCACTGGATCTTTTTTTAAAAATATTTTATTTATTATTTTATGTGTATGTGTGTATTGCCTGCATGTAGGTAAGTGCACCCGTGCCGTGCAATGCCCACGGAGGACAGAAGAGGCCATCGGATCCCCTGGAACTGAAGTTCCAGACAGTTGTTAGCTGCCATGTGGGTCCGCTGAGCTATCTCTACAGCCCCTCTACTGGATCTTTAAAAAGCATCAACAACGTGTGAGTGTGTGTGTGTGCGTGCGTGTGTGTTCAGGCTGAATATTGGATGGAGAATGTGTTAACATAGTTCTCTACAGGAAGTCAAGGAAAGTCATACCTCCATTAACTTGATTTGAGCTATATTTCAAGCTAAGTGTCTAAATTTATATAAAAAGGGAAAAATCCTAGACCTGATAGCTACTTTGATTACACTAAAAACTAAAGAAACAGATCCTGGAGAAACAATTAAGGTTCACAGGTGCATCTCTATACAATGGGTTTCCATTTGGTTTCAAGAGCATGCTGAGGGCTCTGGGGTGTGAATGGAAGTCCCCAGAAAAACCATACATCTTCACACTGGACTTTTTTCTACAAACCCATTAACCGAGTAGAGCTCCAGAGATTATGGAGAGTCTGGCATGTTGTAGGTCCAGAGCCTAATTACCATTTTTCTCAGGCTATCTTTAGCCCCTAAACAGCCATTTCCTTGCCCATCTTTGTTTCTGACCTAACATCCTGTGATTAACAGATAAAAAAAAAAAAACCTTATAAAGTATTTACTAGCAAACCAGCAGGTCCTACCAACCAAAAAGCTAAGAATGTCATCAGACAGGATCTGAGACCTATAGTAGAACACCCCCTACCCCTGCTTTGCTATGACCTGCCTACTGAATGGATCCACCAAATGTTTTTTGTAAAGTGTTTTATGACTTTTCTTTGTTTTGTTACTATAAAAATATAATGTAACTGCTACCATGCTGGAACATGGAATTTGGGGTAACCTGAATCTCTGTTCCCCAGCCATGGTCACTCATATTTGGCTCCAGAATGAACTGTCTCTTATCCCCTTTGAGGTGAGAGTTATGCTTTTGCATCCAAGGGGTTACACACGCGAGTTCCACTCCCTGGTGCTCTGCTCAACAGCTGTGAAATGTTGGCCCTCACTTTCCTCAGCAAAAAATAAGGACATTTAGGGAAACACCCTTACAAGGATTGTTAGAAAGATAAAGGTGACGTGTAGAAAGGTTAGTATGGTACTTGGCTGCATAAATCTGGGATACTGAAAGCACCCTATAATGTTTTCCTTCCGTTTACCTGGTTTGTAGGAATAGCCCTCAGATGATAGCTAGGGATATTTTACTGAAGTCTAATTTGCTGTGATTTTTCCCCTCTCACAAGTTCAAAGAGTATGGAGCACAAGTTGCCAGTCAGCACTGCATTTGCCTTCCCATTGCTGGGTGCTGTGATGGTTAACACTCTCCACAGGACTCCTTATTGTAGAGGGTAGTGGCTCTCTCCTTGCCTCTGTCAGAGAAAGCGGGAAGGACACTGCAAGATGAGGTAGCGTTCTCGGGCCCAGAAAGAACTTTATTTTGAAAGAAATGCCTTTCCCTAAGCAAGACAGGAAAATGAATGAGATTTCCTGAATAACTCCAGTGGAGGAACTGCTATCACTAATATTTAAAATTGAGGATATTTCATCATAGTGGGGTGATTTCAAATTCATTAACTTACAATTGATTTAAAAGAAAGAAATATGCATGCGATTGGGTTGGGGCTGGAGAGATGACTCAGGATTAAGAGCACTGGATGCTTTTGTAGAGGAATGGGGTTGAGTTCCCAGCACCCACATGGCAGCTAACCGCTGTTCTTTGTTAGATAAAAAGGTGGCAGGAGTCAAGATCGCAGTAAAACAAAGGATTCTAGCAAAGTGAGAATTTAATTGGGTTTGGCAGGACTGGGCCTCAACTCCGGTGTGAGGAAGAAGCAGCAGAAGGGTAGCTTATTATAAAGGGACAGAATGCAGAAAAAGAGAATATTTTTCTGCTGTTTGGGACTGTTTAGGGGGCTACTTGCTTAGGGAGAGTGTGGGGTCTGTACCTGGTGAAACTTATCAAGGACTACATCTATTGTAAAACATGTTTTCTACAATTACAGGCTTCCAAAAACTAATTGCAGCTAAGGGCTTGGGAAACCTGTTTGTCAGCCTGTGGAGCATGCTCTGGTGATCACAATACATTGGCCATTAATTTCCTGGAGCTACTTTTGTTAACTTGCAGGTGGCTGGGATTTGGTTGACTCAGTTCCTCTTAGGGGCCTTATGGTTTCTGGGTCTGGGGTGGCCTGGATCTGGACCCTATCATCCTTAACTCCAGCTCTAGGGGATCTAATGCTCTTTTCTGGTTTCCATAGGCATTTCATGCAGGCAGAACACTCAAACACATAAAATAATATTTAAAAATAAAACTTTTTTTTTTTTTTTTTGGTCTTTTTGAGACAGGGTCTCCCTGTAGCCCCAGCTGTCCTGGAACTCACTATGTAGACCAGGCTGGCCTTGAACTCACAGAGATCTGCCTGCCTCTGCCTCCTGAGTGCTGGGATTAAAGGCGTGCGCCACCATGCCTGGCAAAATAAAACATTTTTTAAAAAAGACTTTTCCACTTGGGGGGCAGAGGCTGGCAGTTCTTTGTGAGTTCGAGGCCAGCTTGGTCTACACAGTGAGTTCCAGGACAGCAAGGGTTACATAATGAGACCCTGTCTCAAAAAATGGAATGAAGGAAGGAAGAAACTTCTTGGTGCTCTGAGAAAGGACTGGAGTTTGGTTCCCAGAAACCACATTTGGTGACTCGCAACTGCCTGTAACTCCAACTCCAAGAGATCCAACCTCTTTAGCCTTCCAGGGGCACCAGCACACATTTGCACATAAAATAATAAAAAATGCAGAGAGCCAGTTCTGGTGGTACACATGGACAAAAAATGCTGAAGAGGATGACAATTTCAAGTGTGAGGTCAGCCTGAGCTACACATTGAGTTGAGCATGGTAGCGCATGTCTATAATCCCAGCATTTGGAAGGCAGAGTCAGGAAGAACACTGTGCGTTCAAGGCTTGGTCTGCCTAGCAAGGTCTAGCCAGAGCAACATAGTAAGATCTGTTAAAAATTAATAATAAATAAATAAATAAATAAATAAATAAATAAATAGGCCATTGGGATGGCTATGTGAGTAAAGCGGCTTGCCACCAAGCCTGACAGCATGAGTTCAATTCTGGATCTCTCCTGGAAGGACAGAACTGACTTCAACTTTGTCAAGTTGTCCTCTGACCTCCACAGACATTCTGAGTATGGGTGTGGACACACACACACACACACACACACACACACACAATAAATGAAGAAGAAGAAAAAGAGGAGGAAGAGGAAGAGGGGGAGGAAGAGGAAGAAGAAGTGGAGGAGGAGAGGGAGGAGGAAGAGGAAAGAACCAGGGCATGGTGGTGCAAACCTGTAAATCCAGCTACTGGAAAGGATGATGAAGAAATATTGTGAATTCAAGGTCAGCCTGGGATGCACTAGGGGACACTGCCTCAAATAAAAACAAAACTAGAGAGGTAGGGAGCTGGAACCAGCCACAGATGTGCAGAGGATTCCTCAGGTGTGAGTTTGTATATGGAAGGCTAGGTGTGGGTAGGATCTGTCAGTCTTGGAAGCTTGGAAACCTGAAATTCCCAGCCCTGGACCAGAACTGGTTTAGAAGTATAAGATTCAGGTACCCCATATAATCCTGGCTCAGCATTTTCAGAGCCATCAAACAAAGAACTTGCTGTCTCTCTTATTGTCTCTCTGTCTCTCTCTACCTCTGTTCTATCTCTCTCTCTCTCCCTCCCTCCCTCCCTCCATGTTTATTGTGGGATAGAGGAGCTGAGATGTTGAGAAAATGTTATCAAAAGAATCACATAGACCATGGAGGGAACAAAGTGTGGTTTAACCTTCCCATTACCCCAGACACACAGTAGGACACTTTGACATCCTCCCCAGTTGTAGTCAGCTTGGACTAGGACAACTTTCATTATAGCTGAGAGACATCCTATGAATAACTGCTGAATGTCTCTACCACAAGAAGCCTCCTAGAATCAGTCATTCAATCATACTGATTCTTTTGCCAGGAAGACGAGTCTCCCTGCTCACCCCCTCCCCACCCCAGCCACACTGAGCATGCTCCCAAGGGCACATTGTGGGATCTGCCATAGCAACCACAGAATAGCTGGAGATGTGCTCTGTAGGCAGCCCACCCTCCGCTGAGACAACACAGCTGGTCTGCAGGCTCTTCATTAGCTTCATTCTCAATATCTCTTTCAGACTCATCCTTGTGTGTCCAACCCTGCATGACTGTCAGTGGTGTGCCCACTTTACAGGAGTCCCACCTTATCTCAGAATTAGAAGGAATAGACTAGACACCCCACAATCACCACCACCATACACAGCCATCACCTCAGTACTGTCCTCCTACATCTTTCTCTTTTTTCTTCTTTTTTGGAAGGGTGGAGAGAGGGGGAGGGAGGATGGTAGGGTCTCACACTGTAGCTCAGACCGGGTTAGAACTTACCATGTAGTAGCCTGAGCTGGCTCACAGCAATCATCCTGCTTCAATTTCCCTAGTGCTAGAATTATAAGCACTAAGCTTGTAACTGGGAAAAGTGACTCTGAATTGGCAAAAGAAGACAAGTCATGAGATGCAGACATCTTCGGACTGGGAACCAACGAAACATTC